TGCCACACGCATATGCGTATGCCGAGTCGGCCTCGGCCGTGGGCGTAGCGAGGCGAGGCGGCCGACCGAGCCAAGCCTGCCTGCTGCTCTTCCGTTTTGTAACAGACTAGAATAAAGTCACCATTAACAAATGAAATTCATTGTGTTGTAACCTCCACAACAAATGAGAGATTCATTGTGTTGTAACATTCACAACAAATGAGAGATTTATTTGTTGTAACCTTCACAACAAATGAAAGATTCATTATGTGGTAACCTTCACAACAAATGGGATTTATTTTGTGATAACCTTCACAACAAATGAGATTTATTTGTGTGGTAATGGAGATCTCTCTCTACATATAACGCAAGGCAGAGGCTCTCAAAGTGTGTGTCTTCCTCCTACTATTGTTCCTTGGCGATACTCTCCTTCTGTTCCTGCGCTGTCTCTCTGTTTCCCCGGTTATGTTCATCCCGCGTGCACGGGTGATCAGAACGAGCAGGTGCCTCCGAAACTCCGTCCGCTTGAGAACCTGCATGGGTAGACGGGCGATCAAGTTTTTGGGTAGTGCTTTAAGCGCGACTGCTCTGCATCATCTTCACCAACATGTCGACAACCGGCGACAACAACAACACTGGAGACAAGGAGAAGGAGCCTCTCGTCAACACCAACGGAGGCAATACTGCCTCAAACTCCAGCGGAAGGCCATTCTCGGGGTATAACGTTTCACTATTACCATTCGTCCTTCGTTTCCTACAACTGTCTGTCGCAATATTATTGCGTTCTCTTATCTATATTGATGCTTATTCTATATTAAGCATGCTCATGTTGTACACATCTAGCACTGTCACTAGATCTACTCAAATTACAAATGTCATGTTTATTGTATTAATATTTTGGATTAAAATATGCCGAATTATGACCAAATTTCCAACAATCCAAAAACTTGATAGGAAGTACATTTAGCACGTACACTTTTGTTCGAGGCTAAGTTTTTGGATTAATGGGCTAGGCCCAATTAAATCCCAATTAATGGGCTAGGCCCAAATTAATTGTCATTGACTGCTCGTCATCTTATCAGTCAGTCGAATTTAAATTTTAAAACTTAATTTTATAGCTATTTTTGTTTTTATTTTGCAGTCTAGGACTTTCAACAACTAAGCTAAGAAGTGTTGAAAATTTGGTCATAATTCGGCATATTTTAATCCAAAATATTAAGACAATAAACATGACATTTGCAATATGAGTAGATCTAGTGACAGTGCTAGATGTATACAACTTGAGTATGCTTAATATGAAATAAGCATAAACATTTATATAGTAATGCAATGCTGCCATTGCGAAGAGTATTAACAAAGAAACATCTAATAGAATCGGGAGAATGAAAGTATACCTCGAAAATGTCCCACCGCTGGATTTTGAGGCAGTATTGCCTCCGTTGATGTCGTTCATCTTCTTGTCTCCAATCTCCGTTGACATCTTGGTGAAGGCGCTGATGCAGCAGCAGTAGCCGCGAAGAACAAGAGCAGTCGCGCTTGAAGCGCTACCCAAAAACTTGATCGCCCGCCTATCCGTGCAAGTTCTCAAGCGGACGGAGTTTCGGAGGCACCTGCTCGTCCTGTACACCTGTGCGCGCAGGTGAACAGAACCGGGGAAGGATTCTGCAGCTCAGGAATAGAGGAGGAGGAACTCGGAGTGCAAGAGTCGTGAAGAGAGTATATATCCGTTGTTTATTACCGTCCGTTACAAAACGAGAGAGCGCAGCAGCTGTTTGCCTCGCCTCGCCCCGCCTAGTTGTCCGCGCACCATCTCAACCGGTCAACAGAGACTCTCCACTAGCTCCATATTTAAGTTGAGACCTCTTCACTTAGATTTCCAAGGTGGTATTATTACCCATAACACTTAATGTAGGCCAATGGAATTTATTAGGATTTAATTGGGCCTAGCCCATTAATTTAACAAGAAGCAGTATCAAAGTCTTCCCTAAAACTATTGTTGTTGCTTCATTTATTATGGATACATCTTAACCGTGAAAACCTAATCTATAATTTATTTATAATTAATAAACAAGCTTTGCTGATACACAGAAAATGATGCACAATGGCAAAATCATGTTTGCACACATGTACTAATTAATGCTATGTTGACAGAGAACTCACGTACGGAAAGTACAAATAAAAAACAAAATTTGAGAATGAAGAGCATAAAAGGAAAAATCCAATTTTACCATGATAAAATGAGAGAATCGATCAACTTTAGAAACAAATAAAGAATTTTTTCCCAAGGATCAGTCATATAGCTATGTGAGACAGGACATGTCAATTTTCATTAACACGTTTCTCAAATTGCTAAACGATATATTTTGCGCAAAAACTTGCTTTAAAAATATATAATGAATCTATTTTTTAAGTTTATAATAATTAAAATTCAATTAATTATACAACATATCATATTTAGTAAAGCCTAAACCAATTAATTATGCACCACATCAATTCCACATCATATATACATATGACATCATGTGGATACAAACTTTCCGTGTACGCACTATGCATACCAACTAACATATTTCACTAAAAAAATTAGAAAAAATGTACATGTACTTTTGATAGCATTATACTTATGTATAAAGTTTTAACCTTGAATTCATTATATTTTAGCCTAAGATAAAAGTTCTGACGATTTTAAGGGTATAAATAGTCCAAAATTTTGTCTTTTTTTTCTCCATATATAGAATGATTTTGAAGACGAGACTTTAGACATAATTATGATACAACTAAAAGTATATGTATATATTTTTCTAGAAATTTTTTTTGAAGTTTGTTAGTTGGTGTGTATAGTGTATACACGAGAAGATGTGTGTGCATAGGATACGTTCCCCTCAACTAAAAAATATTCATTTTATTTTGTTTCTTCCTAAATATCCACTCTATCCACAAATATAGGATATATAAGAGACTTTATGTTCAAAAATTCATATTATGTCCACGAATGTAGAGATTTTGAAGTATACTTTACCTATATCATCTAACCACTATATTTATTGCTCACTAGTCATAGTCTTTCTTAATCAAGTAAACTTTCAAGATATCAAAGCAATTTCACCCGAGCCTTAAACTCTATAAAACCTAGAATTCACTATATATGTGGACCGAGGGAATATACAACACACCAACTGCAATCAATCGATGGTGCGACGAGTCAACAACGCTATAAAACCAATCCGCAAAAGGCCATCAAATTCAACAATCAAAGTCCCATCGGGGGCACAATCAAGTCACATCTCAATAATATGAGTATGAATCACAAAAAGATAAGAGGCATCAAGATCAATTTATTTATCGCACATAGCCGGCGCGGCTCGCAGCCTTGCATGGTGCTGACGGCTAGCTCCTGAATCCTGATGCAGAGCTATTAGCTACTACTCCTATACTAGCTAGTGCACGATCGAAGATCGGTTACCCGATTGGTGGTTGGGCATGGCTTGCATAGTTAGCAATGCATATAGCACCAAAACCCCGACATATCACGTCGTTTAGACGAGTGAGCGCCTGTTCCCGGATAGAAGCGCGCGGCCACCTACGCCAACCGCATGCAACGCCGGCCGCACGTACGTGTCGATGGATGAGGCGTGAGGAAATCAAGTCCAGGCCCACAACAGCCATGGAATACCTTAAAAGAGCACCATATAAGAATTTTTCAACGAGTACGTGAAAAGTCTTGAGAATTTTTCAACGAGAACGTGAAAAGAATAAGAAAGTTGTTTTTAACATTTTAAAAAAGATTACTCCATTTATTATTAATTAGGACTCGTATATCAGCCACTCTGCCTCGAACAACCACTTCTAATCTAGCCAACGGCATAGCGTCCAGCCTTGATGGTGAGCGATGTGCCCAATTAACCCATTTCCGAACCGTTGCCGGCGTTTGCGATGTGATCGTGTGAGATCAACAGGGTGGGACGGGGACAGGGGCGGGCGCGCGCGGCGGCGTCCCCTGGTTGGGCGAGGCGGCGGCCGCCAGGGAGGCGTGAGACCGGCAGTGCGCCCGACGTACGTGCTGTATTACTGTTGTTCCGTAGATGGTCGCCGCCGTGGGTTATGTTTGTCTATCCTGCCGGCTTTTGGCCTCTGCACGGCGCGCCTTGGTTTTCGATCGGGCGGCACGGGGCCGAACCGTACGCGGTGCCACAGTGTCAGTTCCCGGCAGGGCATCCAGCTGATGCTTTCCGATAGGGGCAGCGCTCTCGAGCCAGGCATGATACTACCAAATTGATGGTCCCAAATGTTCCTCCGTTTCCATGTTGGATTGATTTGGACAAGCGGATGCGTGCGTGGCATTTCTGGACTGGATTCTTTGTGATCAAGATAGCTCCGACATGTTACACTGTCATTGGTCAGTTAGCTAGCACTGGAGAGTGTATGCCGAAACCGGTACTTTAGAATATGAATAGAAATTTTGCATGATTGCAATCCTACAGATTTTTTCATAAATGCTCCTTTGAAACAAATGATTTTACCCTATTTAATTCTATGAAATTTCAATCCGTGCAAGTTTTGGAAAAAAAATCAACATGAGTTTTAGACCTCATGAAAAATTTCCTTTCAAGTCTTTTATTATCTCTCAAATTCCTATGGTTTCCATAGCCTAACCAAACGGTTATTTTTTTATCATGATTATTGCAGTCTTTTATTTTATATGTGCAGCCCTGCTAACCATGTATTTTTCTCCTACTCCTCTATTTTCTCAATCGTGTGTTTCAATAGCTCTCAGATCGATTGACGAATGGTAAAATGAACCCTTGCCGTACTTTCAGAGGAAAACCAACATGAATACATAGGGTAGTACAGTATAACTAAAGGGAATAAGAGTGGGTTTCTGCCCTTAAAGGGCAGAAAAGACATACGTTTCCTTTAACCAAACAGCTTCAATATATGTTCTTACGATTGAATCTAATTTTTTATCTTACGATTTTTATTCATATATGATCTTAACCGTTTAACTTTACGATCAATTGCAGGTCCAATATTCACTTACTCCATGGGGAACGTCGTGTTCCTTCACGTGAGCCGGCCTGACGTGGTTCGGGACATCAACCTCTGCGTGTCGCTGGACCTGGGCAAGAGCTCCTACCTCAAGGCGACGCACGAGCCCCTGTTCGGTGGGGGCATCCTCAAATCCAACGGAGAGGCGTGGGCACACCAGAGAAAGATCATTGCCCGTGAGTTCTTCCTGGACAAGGTCAAGGTATGTGCAATATATCGCACTGTTCCAATATCCAGTTAGTATCCAACTATCATACATGCAAATAAAAATTATTATGGCAAACTGAAACTCTTGAGGTTGAGGCCCAGAATGACTCTGAAATGTCACTCCCACTATAGCCACCAAAAAAGAACTGACAGTGAGATATATGTTCAAATAGACTTGGGTTGCTAACAAAGATTTGAAGGCATCGGAGGAAAACCTTAGGCCCCAGCAAGTAGGCATTCAAAGCTATCCTCATAGTTTCAGGGAGAAATAAATATGTGGATCTACATGTTCCCGCTTAGCAAACGCAATTTAGAATTACAGTTCAACGTAAGAGAGCCTGGAGCAGAGTGACTACTACAGTCTGATCCAGCTAGATAATGTGTTACGAGCATTAAAATTTCTGATTAGGACCACTCACGACAGCAAAACTACAATATTCTGATCCACCAAGATAACGTGCTATACCCCACTCTAGTTAGGACCACTTTCAGTAACATTGGATCATTCTGATGAGCTATTTATCACACTTACATAAGGGTTTTTTATTCTTCTCCTATTGTCATCAGTAAATTAGAATTCAAAGATTTAAGAACAAGCATACAGCTAGACAGAAGACAACAATGAGTGTTACTTGCCTGCCTGATTCTTTGTTTTTTTCACATACTTAGGGCATGGTGGATCTGATGGTAGATTCTGCGCAAACACTGCTTAAGTCATGGGAAGAAGGAATAGACAAAAATGGCGGGACCATAGACATAAAGATTGATGATGACATAAGGGCTTACTCTGCAGACGTTATCTCTAGAACATGCTTTGGAAGCAGCTACATCAAAGGAAAGAATATATTTTTAAAGATCAGAGAACTACAAAAGGCTGTGTCCAAGCCAAATGTACTAGCTGAAATGACTGGCCTAAGGTTAGCAACCAAGTATGTCATTTCTTTAGTGCAAGAGTATAAATTAAAACTTTTGTCAGTTCCAGACAACATGTTGAAACTCCCATTTCAATTCAGTTGCAAGAGATAAAATTTTGAATGTTGTAGGTTTTTTCCCATAAAGAGGAACAAGCAAGCGTGGGAGCTTCACAAACAAGTGCACAAACTAATACTAGAAATTGTGAAGGAAAGCGGAGAAGAAAGGAACTTACTACGTGCAATTCTTCTTAGTGCAAGCAGCAGTAAGGTGGAGCTCGCTGAGGCAGAGAACTTTATAGTGGATAACTGCAAGAGTATATATTTTGCAGGATATGAGAGCACAGCTGTCACAGCTGCCTGGTGTCTAATGCTCCTTGGACTACATCCAGAGTGGCAGGATAGGGTACGGGAAGAAGTGCAGGAGGTCTGTGCAGGCCAGCCAGTAGACTCTCAGTCCCTTCAGAAAATGAAGAATGTATATGCTCCTTTCCTTTTCTGCATCTTCCATTCAGTCAATTAAAGAAATGCATCTTTTTAATCTTGCAAAACAAAACAAGACTTGACTATGAGCAGTCCATTAGTGCACTTTGCAGTAAATTGTACATTTGTTACAATAGCTCACTAACTTCCAGGTCCTCTCTGCTTGTAGTTGACAATGGTGATCCAGGAGACTTTGCGTTTGTACCCAGCTGGCGCCTTTGTATCAAGGCAGGCCCTTCAGGAACTGAAGTTTGGGGGTGTACATATACCAAAAGGTGTCAACATCTACATCCCTGTTTCCACAATGCACCTTGATCCCAACCTGTGGGGTCCAGATGTGAAAGAATTCAACCCAGAGCGCTTCTCCAATGCACAACCCCAGCTACATTCCTACTTGCCATTTGGCGCTGGTGCTCGAACTTGCCTTGGTCAGGGCTTTGCTATGGCTGAACTCAAAACCCTAATTTCCCTCATCATCTCCAAGTTTGTATTGAAGCTCTCGCCAAACTATGAGCATTCTCCAACACTGAAACTCATTGTGGAACCAGAATTTGGTGTGGACCTCAGTTTAACGAGAGTGCAAGGTGCATATAGACACTAATAGGGTGGTGATTTGGACATAATAATGACAGTGTCTATCCAGGTCGATGGAGAGAAAATTGTAATATGATGAATGCATCTTGAAAAAAAAAAGTACATATACAGCTCCATACTATTTAGGCTTGATCGTACTCATGGCATGTTTCAGAACTTAGCTTAAATGTGTTTAACTATAGGGAAGATGTCAATGGACAAATGGTTTATGTCAACATCATATGGTTATGTTGTGAGTACCAAAAGGCAACATATACTGGAAACATTAAAGGTAAATGCATGTCAAATAAGTGAAGAACCCGAAATTGTTTGTCAAGAACGAGGTTCGCAGCATACCTGCATGATGAACATGCTCTGAGTACTCGTCAGTTTTCAACAGAAAATTCCATTTTCCTCCAGTGGATATCATCTAAAAGTTAACAAGTCCATGATGGATTAATAACAAAAAGTCAGTGATAGCATTGCACAATGTTAAAGCCAACTAAGAATGACCATATACTACACAGCATAATAGGTTGGGATAAAAATAGTTCTCCAGGAAACATGTATACAATTGATAAAAGATGGATAAAAATAGTTCTCCAGCAAGCTGATTGGTTCGTTTACCCCCATTCAGTTTTACGCCACGTGTCCATGAAGCATTCGGCAAACGATCGAGTGTCTCGCGCATGTATTGCTGTCTTCGTGCGGCAGAAAACAAAAATAACAGCAGCTTCTGGATGTCGTCTCACCTCACGTCCCTGCTATCTAGGCCAAACACTCTCATTAATCTCTCATCCCCGTTCTATAAAAAAAAATCAATCATCCCAGCTGGCCTAGCTACATTGGCCCGTGCTGTGCACCTGTGCTGGCCGAGTTAGCTATCACTGACCTGTTAGCTGAACCCATACATGTGAGTATTGTAGCATATATGACAGGCTTGGAAAAAAATAAATCAAACCATATTGGTCTCATATACAATTATTTGTGGCATTAAATTAGTATTAGTTTTATAGTCAATAATAATATAATGAGAATGAATATTGATGATCAAATTTTGGTGTCAATGCCATTTTAAAAGCTAACACATCATATATTTCTCAAAAAGAGAAAGTATGGTATAGTCTGCAACAGAATAAAGAAAAAATGCACACACTTTGACTGGGTTATAATATTCATATATTACTTAAAAATAAGACAAAAAATAATAAAATTTGTGTATAAAAAAGATAAGTATAAACAAATATAAAAACTGACAAATATAGTACTCCCTCTGTTTCACAATGTAAGTCATTCTAGCATTTCCCACATTCATATTGATGTTAATGAATCTAGATAAATATCAACATCAATATGAATGTGGGAAATGCTAGAATGACTTACATTGTGAAATGGAGGAAGTAGTTCTACAAATATCAATATTTACATACTATTATAGGAATGTTGGTGTGAAATGTCCCAAAAAAAACATGAAAAATAGTTCAGAGAGTGGTTGCCCTATAATAGTCACACATCATATTTACACGATATACAAAAGAATTCATATAGCATATTACCTACATTATATAATTACTAATTTGGTTCTATATTTTGTATATGGAGTGCATATATAGTGTTAAGCTATCTATGTAAAATTCTGTGTCTAGCATATATGTCTACCAATTAATAGACGTATGTATCCTCTCTCCTCTCACTCACCTCCACATCAAAAAATATACTGTGTGGCATTCTCTCCTACGGTGATCGTACCATTATTCATGCCCTTAGTGCTAAGTGTGATTGGTTAAAGCTGAAAACATGTAACTTAACCATGTTAATATCCTACTCCCTCCGTTTCACAATATAAGTCATTTTAGCATTTTCCATATCATATTAATGTTAATGAATCTAGATATATATATCTATCTAGATTCATGGACATCAATATGAATGTGGGTAATGCTAAAATGACTTATATTGTGAAACGGAGGAAGTATATTATAGAAAAGGTTAAACAATTTTTTAAGATAGCAAGAAATAAAAAATATTTTATTTTAATTTTACTAATTCTAACAGCTTATATACAAAATTTTAAAATTACAAACGTGAGACTAAATGCACCGTTTGTTTGCGTATACTGTCATGCTATAATTCTTCGTAGGTATTATACAAACATAAAACTAAGTACACATTGAATGATATTTTTGAATATATGATATTTACATAGATTTTATCAGTATTAAAGTAATTACTCTAGAAACTATGCATGTGCCCTAGGGGAAAAACTCACAGGATAAATTATCCAGCGCGCCGATTTTCTAGTACTCAGCTAAGGCTGGACCAGACGAAGGGCCAGTTTATCACCAGCTGACATGAGGTAAGACCATAGGAGCCTAGGAGGACCTTCCGTTTAAGCAGTATCTGAATATCAAACAACACCGAGCACAACACACACCAATAAGAAAATAAATGTGTGGTTGATTCAGAACAGAAATAAGGAAAAGGGAACCCTCGCAGCAGATTGGCAGGCAAACATACTCTGATGGTATACGTGCCAAAGAAACAATTTGCTGCTTAGAATTAATTTACTAGAACAATAACAAGGCACATATATAGACAAATTAATATAGCTGCAGAAATATTTAGCGTGAATACTTTTACATCACATTGAAATTGAAATCAATCAAGCCCAACAACTGAAACCTTCATAGTATCAGCCTGACACCAACTTCACAACAATGATAAGAACATTAAGTGCTATCAACGGCATCCTAAAGAACTGTGTGGCATATATGAGTCCTACAATCTGACCCTTCAATGACTTTGATCGTCCATTTCCTGAGACTTCAGACATGCTCCATCCTCTGGGTGCAAGAAAGCGGTCTTCATTTAGTATCGCCAATGCATTTGCAAGAATCAAAAGACCCTCTAGGAACGGCCAGAAGAACATTCCTGCAGGTAGTAGGTATTTTAGTTTGAAATAATTTCTCCATATGGAATATCGCAAAGACGTCATCGTCCTGGAATGTGAACATTACTGGAAAATAATAAAGACCAAAAAAAAAACATAAAGACCTGTTTTCACTAGCACAATTCATGCAATTGAAACTTACATGTAAAATTTCCAAGAAAACCACAAGGTTTGCACTGAGAAAGAAAACAATATTGGTACTACGATAAATGATTTGACAGGAATAATGATCATTTGATCAGATGCTGGCATAGTGACCACTACCGAGAATTCACATGTCATACACACAATATATCACATCAGCAGTATACGAAGTGGCGAAACTTGAATCAACGACCACCCACCCCCAACCTACCCAGCCCAATCAGTGCTTCAGCCAGCCCATTAGTAAGAGAGAACAATGAGAGATCGAGATAGGCAGCTAGGGGGCCACAACACCACGGTTTCTTCATGACACCTCTGCCCAATGCCGATTAGTGATCATGTCTTGTCGTTGACCATCGTGGCGTTGTCGAGTCTGACCAAGCTGCCGCCCACAGGAGCCAGGGAGTAAATTCTGACCATTCTAATACCCTAAATCCTTAAACAACACTTTTACTAGTTCCTAATCTGGAGACTATAGTCAAATACTCAATTTTGCGTATAAAGGGATTTGGCAGCAAGGATTAGTTCCAATGAAATTATTAAGGCCTTTGATCAACCTGGTATCCGTAGAGCTAAATTTAAGTTAATTGAGATATAATTTTATTTCATATGGCAAAACATGTGCTGTCTTGTTTGCTATTTATATGATGTTGGAGCTAGCTGCTAGCTACCTATATTGAACCTTCTCTTGTATCTCAATACATATACGTGTTTCTTATCTAGCTACAATGGAGCATATACATACATATAAACAATAGCCTTGTGGTCTGTCACCCCCATTCCCAAATCCTGGCTTCGCCCTTGAGCATACGTGCTAGGAATTAGCTAGGATCCCCTACCCGTTCAACCAGATAGATCAATCCATACACCCAGCGCTCGCATATGCCCCAGATGAAACCACCAGGAAAGCGGCATCAGGCATCTAGATCGACTTGTGCGAGGAAAGCCTAGTAGTGGCCGAGAGCGAACCTAGCGAGTAGGGGAGAACGGGGCGAGAGGCAAGGGGGAAGATGTACCTCGTGGTGGCGGGGGTGGCACCGGATCTAGCCGGGCGTGGGGCGAGGTCCACTCGTCGCCGGCGGGGAAGCTCACCGGCAGCCGTGGCGCATATGCGTCCAGTCGGCGGCGGGGAGGGGACGATCTCCGCTTCTTTTCCCTTCGCCGCTTGCTCGACCTGTTGTTCTTTGCTTCGTCTCGAGGCACACTGGTCCGATGTATGGCCGGGACGTGTTGCACTGTTGCCTCTCGTTTGGACTGGGCTGGTAGATTAATGAGTTTGTGGGCTCTATATCTATGTATGAGTCGGCCTGCTCGTTCAGTTAGCGAGTCTGCTGCTGCCTTCTCTCAGTTGGTCCTGATTTCTGGTAGTTGGTTTGGCAAGCCCAAATCATCCAGGCGGCGGCGGAGGCGATATCTTTCAATTTCGATGTACTTTGGCTCGTTCGTAAGCGTGACGAATTTGATAAAAGAAAACGGATAATTACATCTGATATCAGTTTTGACCGACGTCTTAAAATTGTTTGCTACTTCCTCCGTCCCCTAATATAAAAGATTTTGACATTTTAATTGCACTGTTTAACCATTTATCTTATTAAAAAATTGAAATTATTTTTTTATTTTTTTACTTACTTTAATACTTTATTATTCAAAGTACTTTAGGCATAACTTTTCGTTTTTTATATTTGCATAATTTTTTTAATAAGACGAGTAGTCAAACAGTATAAGCAAAATGTCAAAATCCATTATATTATGAGACGGAAGGAGTAGTATGGAATTATATTATCGTAGACACGTAAAAGTCAAATGGTTCAGGAAAACGTCTTGATCGAATTCTACAACTGCGTACGATGAGATGAGGCACGTAGTACTACTAGGACGTATTACTGTGAGCATGTTTAGATGGGACTAAAACTTTTTTAAGTCCCTACCACATCGAATGTTTGGATACTAATAATAAATATTAAACGTAGACTATTAATAAAACCTATTTATAATCTTGGACTAATTCACGAGACGAATCTATTGAGCCTAATTAATCTATGATTAGCCTATGTAATGCTACATTAAACATTCTCTAATTATAGATTAATTAGGCTTAAAAAATTTGTCTCGTGAATTAGCTTTCATTTATATAATTAGTTTTATAAGTAGTCTATATTTAATACTCTAAATTAATATCTAAATATAGATACTAAAGTTAAGTCCCTGATCCAAACACATCTATATTAGTCTAGTCTAGTACGGCAAGGAGACCGGAAAAGAAGGCAAGCGGTTATACCTACACTACACATGTGCGAACCAAACTGAACACGCAACGTGGGGGAGAGGGCTCACCGCGTACAAACCGCGTTCGTATGGCGGTGGTTTGCCGTTAACCAACCAGACACCGCATCTGCGCGTATGCATCACCAACGAGAGCGTTATGTGTATCTTTGGTGTACCGAAGAGCCTATTGTACTTGACCAACTTGCGTTAGTTGACGCGGGCACACGCCGCACGCGACGCGGCGCAACGCAGCGCACGGCGGTGTTGCCTGCGAAACGCGAGAAAACGCGGCGTTATTCAGTTAGCGGTGAGCGGTGCGGGCATCATGTACACTCCCGTCTCCCGGTGTGGACCTCGCTTGGGGGCTCTGGCAGGCATGTGAAAACACAGCGTGACATAAAAATCTGAAAGTTGGTGGTGACCATGAAATTCGAGTCGCTTTCCTCTCTCAGATCGGTCGGGAAAATTGTTGGGTTGCGGATTATTCAGTGATGTGTGTGCCCCCACTTCGCATGGATCATTGTACACCACAGGGAGCTCATCATTGACTGCCTTGGGTGACTGACATTGTTTTCGAGAAAACAGCGTGTAGGAAAACAAGGAAATGATATTGGAATTTGAAGAAATTCGAGAAATTACTTTTCTCAGTGTTCTCACAGTAACGGGGGAGAGTCAGGCAGAGAACTCTCACCGTTTCTTCCAGCGTTCGAGAAATTATTGCTAGTGTGCGACGTAAAGAAAATGATGTTGGACATTTTATACAAGTGCTAGTGCATTTCTTTGGGTAGCATTTCATTTAGATTTTGTGGATTAATTTGGTAACTTTCTCTGGTTTATGTGTGTTACGTATTAAACGGGAGAGCGCAGCGTGTGATTACCTAGGGTATTGCTGTCTTTTATGTCACGGAAAAAAAAACTCAACTATCATCCATGTGGTCACTTTATGATTAGGCTGAATGGCTGATTATCTTACTACTACTGTCAGCCAGTCAGCGTTGTTGGAATTAGGAAGAACTCGCGCACATGCATGGTACGACTCGGACCACCAGGCACCAGCCCCCTCCCAAGAGAACGGAAGACGCAGCCAACCACGCGCGCGCCTTCACCGCGGCCGCATGCGCCAACCCGCGGCCTCGGCCGGGGAATGCGCCGCTGCGAAGTCGTACACAATCCCTCCCAGTCTCTGCAGGCATATGTGGCCGCACGCCTCACGTTGACACACCGCGCGTCCTCCGCGCTCCAGTGTTCCACCACCTCTCCTGGTTTTGGGCCTTTTCATCACGTGATCTGTGCATTTTCCACGGGTCTTATACTACGACTTGCCCCGACCCCGTTGCGTCGGCTGTTGCACACCGGCACCGCTGATTCATCATCGGTAGCCCGGTCCAGTTCGCGGGCGCCTTTGCTTTGTTTCTAGGCGATCTAGATCGAGGACGAACGCTTTATTCCCTTGCGTACAGTTCAAACCCCTGCCGCCCGGCGTCTATCCAGATTCCAGACTAGTCGCCGTTCCTCTCCGTTGCCCATCTAGATGAGTAGATGACGACCCAAGAAACAGGGCGAGGCTGCTAATGGCCTAATCCTGACTTTTTACGGTAAAGTAATGTCGCCAACCGTTGACAGGAAGCTGGAGAAGGAAAAGGAACTTCAACGCTTCGTTTTTTTTCTTTCTTTCTTTCTTTCCTTCACAAACAATACGTATAGCTGTGCAAGGCTGCAAATATCTGGATAATCGGGGAGGTGCGGATCGTGTTGGGCACTAATGAATCTTGGGTGCACGTTTTCCTGGAGATAGCACATGATTTGCAAAGGGAACCACGTCGTCGGTGGCTAGTAGTTATTTCAGTCATAATAAAATCTGATCGTGTCCGGAACAACAGCCAAGGAGCGGGGGCTTTTCAAATAGGGACAGGATCAAAGGACAATCATATTGGGTAGAAAATGCCATGAGTTGGTAACACTAACACATGGGGAGGTGGTCAAGTCAACAAACCTACCATCACAACAGGATGCTGAATTGTAGTAGATTGGAGAATCTTACAAATTGAATCGATATAAACTGTCAAATTGGCGTTAGTTTTGTTCAAAAATTGTTGTTCTTTCTCCTAGTATTAGCTTTAGGCCTCATAAATTCAGCACGAACGTGTTTCATGTTGAATTGCAGGAAGTTCAGGGAATCTGGTTCAACCTAATATATCTACTGCTATTATCAAGGGAAGCTTGTTTAGCGAGCAAATATACTACTAGTACAATTTGCATCCATGTTCCTTCAAAGAGAAAAAGGACAATATGCCACTCTATTCATTGGGCTTAGACGAAATGCCACCCACTAAAATGCAAAGGTTAAAATGTCACTCAATAGATGAGACCTTCAAAATATTTTGCCACTTTGAGGGATTTTAAGACCAAAATACCTTTGGCTGTGGAGAGAAAGGAAGAAAGAGGGGAGAGGGAAGCACCGGAGAAGGTCAAGTTGGGCGGCGTCCGTGCTCGCCGCCGGCGGGTGGTGAGTGCACAAGGGCGGAAAACGACGGGGGAGGAGGACAGCGGTGTCGTGAGCCCACGTGTGGGCAGCGTCGGAGGCGGCAAGCTGCGAGCGCGCGAAGCCATCTTGTCAGCGCCACCGTCCCCTCCCTCCCATCAGCAACGCCGTCCTCCTCCATCACTAGCGAGCAGAACGGTTCCCTTTCTTTTTCTCTCTCCACAGTCAAGGGTATTTTGGTCTTAAAATTTTTCAAAGTGGCAAAATATCCTAAGGTAACATGTGGTATTTTATCCTTTGCATTTTAGTGGGTGCATTTTGTCTAAACCCAACGAATGGAGTGGCATATTGTCCTTTTTCTCCTCCTTCCAAATCCCCTATGCACAAATGTAAAAGATGTTCCTTTCGGCAGCTCACTACAATAGAGGGGATCCATGAATTGATTTCTTTAGGCGCCCTCATTCAGAACGTGCATCTCCATCCAAGTTTGCCAGATGATATCCTTTGTAAATTCTCGCCTAACGGAAATTACATCTCAAAAAGTGCATACATGTTGCAATTTCAAGGCATCTTCACCACCATCGATTTTACGAGGATCTAGTCAGCTCCTACTGAACTGAAACATCGTTTTATTGGCTGGCTCATCTTGCACCAAAAAACTCTAACCGCACAAAATCTCCTTCAACGCCACTGGCCTTGTGATTGGATTTTCCCTCTTTGTAGGGAGGCTTTCGAAAACATTGCTCATCTTTTCAAAGAATGCTTTTTCACCATCAACGTGGGGAACAAAATTTGCGCTTGAAAGGGTTTAGGTCAAAACACTTTGCCTAACACCTTAGATTTAGAAAAGTTGGTGGAGTTTGCTCTCAACCTTTCGACCAAAAACCCAGCGAAAAAGAACTCCAGGGTGCCTGATCACCTCCTGGTGGAACATTTGGTTGGAGCGTAATCAACGTATTTTCAAAAATTTATGCAAGGCAGCCAAACATGGTGGCTTCTCTAATTTTGCAAGACCTCGTGTCACACTGCTTTCCAACCACCTTGATGTTTTTCTTGTTGTTCATTTTTTTTCTGTTTTTCCCCCTTTTGTTTGTCTGTACATACTTTTGTTTCTCTAATATATTCTGGCAGTCCTTCTTCCGCTGTTTCTTAAAAAAAAAAAAAATCTATAAAACGTAAGCACTTGGGTAGGAGTATGTGTTTGCCCACTCAACGTAAGCTCTTGGGTGGGCAAGATGCTCCTACGGCGGCTTCTTCTTTTGGCCAACTAATCTAGCAAGAATCAGTGAAAGTGTAAAACAGTAGCGCTTAACCAAATTGCTAGGTGGCATTTTTGGGACAATCCTGCCAAACCTCTCTCGACTGCCAAAAAAATAAAAAGTGGGCTGCATGTTGGAAGAGTTTGTTGACGTGGATATATATCTGATTGATCGTACAGCCAACTTGTGTTAGATAAGTGTGTCCGAACATAATTAATTTCTTTCAATTTGGTCTAGCAGAATTCCAGTCCATTGAACTTTGCTTAATACTAATATACAGTAATAACGTGATAACGACGACATGTTCTCTCTTTTTTTTTTGGGTCACTTTCGTCGTCTATAAGAACCCGGGCAACTCTCTACGCCATCATATACGTTTTACGCGCCTCGATCAGAAATAAGTTCACACAGCCTAATAAACCCCTCGAGAAGACAAGTGTAATCGCCAGGGGAAGCGCGCGAGATGGACGCAGCTGGCGTCGCCGCAAAGCCGTCGCTGTCGAGGAAGCCCTCGCCGTCGTTCCGCCTCCGGAACGGCAGCCTGAACGCGCTGCGGCTGCGCAGGGTGTTCGACCTGTTCGACCGCAACGGCGACGGCGAGATCACGCTCGACGAGATGGCGTCCGCGCTCGACGCGCTCGGCCTCGGCGCCGACCGCGCGGGGCTGGAGGCCACGGTCGGGGGCTACATCCCCGCGGGCGCCGCGGGGCTCCGCTTCGGCGACTTCGAGGCACTCCACCGCGCGCTCGGCGACGCGCTCTTCGGCCCCGTCGAGGAGGAGGAGCCCGGGAAGCAAGGGGAGGACGACGACGAGGGCGACATGAAGGAGGCGTTCCGGGTGTTCGACGAGGACGGCGACGGCTTCATCTCCGCCGCCGAGCTGCAGGCCGTGCTCAAGAAGCTCGGCCTCCCCGAGGCCCGGAACCTCGCCACGGTGCAGGAGATGATCTGCAACGTCGACCGCGACTGCGACGGCCGCGTCGACTTCGGCGAGTTCAAGTGCATGATGCAGGGGATCACCGTGTGGGGCGCTTGACGGCGGCGAGCGAGGCCGCCGTCCTTCGTCCTCTCCCCGTGTGTCATGTATGTATCCACGCATTGCAACGTGTCTCTGCTCGGCAAATTTTTCTTGATCGTCCTGTGGAATCCTCCTGTTCTTGACTTGATCTGCTTAATTGTAGCATTGAGAATTTTCTGTGACCACCATGAAATGCGACATTATAGAAAAAAAATGGCATGCGAAGATTTCATTGGTATTTACTCCGTTACTTAAACATTGTTTTTGTTAATTATTCCTATCCACATATATCTAAGAGGAAAGTTGACCAGCTTCACCACAAGTTTTTCTTTCTTCAATTTCGTGGTGCTTTCGTGCACATGCCTAGGCCTATCATTTCCCTTTGTGCGTTGACGTATTCAGCCGTCATTTGAATAAGCGTTTGCTTGAAGAAATGGCAGAGAAAGAAGAAATGGGCTTGACATGATTTTCTATTGAAAATATTGTGGACAGGTTTAAAACATAGAAATTTCGTAGAAAACCGTTCAATATTCTAACCAAGGGGAAAATCATTAGCACTAAACAGGGTTATAGAGAACATGGGAAGTTTGTTCTATGATCCTACTACAGGAATATAATATCTATGGAGGCCTTTGGAACAAAGGATTAGACATTACAGATTACTTTAAAGTTATTATCTAACAGACTAATCCATAGTAATTTTGGAAAAAAAAAATCCATGAGGTCAACTTCATGTTTTCATCCCCTTTCTTGAAAATCAACATCCCCCCCCTCCCCCTATTACATCCAAACCTCTCTTTTAAAGTACTCGTGTTTTTCCATCAGAATTTGAGAAGGCATTTCTCCTTGTTTTCCTCCTTTCTATTTTGAGTTCCCTTCATTCCAAAAGCTTAATTGTTTGAAATCTAATAGATAACTCTTTTAAATCCAAGGAGGCATAGAGTTCTCACATGGACCATTATCTTCTTGTTCTTTCATTAGTACAGTAGTGTACGTTTAAGCACATGAAGATTGCTAGGCCAACCTAACGTCTGCTTATGAATACCTACCACATGTTAATAGGAACTTGCATCAGCATGTTTGCATGCTCTACACTTTATATGATTACGCATTGCTTTCTTATTATACATGTTTGGCTTTAAACCAAGTTTTTATATGCCTTCAAGTAATGTACTCCATTGATTTGCAGATTCTGAAGCATCTGAAGATTGATCTAGGAGCTATAACATTACCCTTGGATTGTTTCAGTCAATACTGATTCAGTGTTTGTTGTATGTTGGTCATAATGCAGGTAATGATGACTGTAATTTCAGTACTGTTTGTTTAACTCTTGGTTTTACCCTTCACTAATCTAGGCATGTAGCCAGATAGGTCTTGTGCGCATCTGTGTCATTGTGTTCCTCCTAATCCAATAAGCTTTCTGTATGTAAGAAGAACAATGTGACCTATATCAGAACAATGGTCTTTTTGTTAATTAAAATTGTAATAAGCGTGTGCTTGGTTACTGGTGGAATGTTTTTTTTCCCTTTGTATCTATAACATGTTTTGAACAGGTATCATTGGTTTTTTTTGTGTGTTTGGGGGGTGGGGGGGGGGGGGGTTATGGAGTACGGTCATGAGTTATGGACAAAGTGTGAGATAACAGCATCCTATTACTGCTTCTAAATGAACACATGTCAATATGGCCTTGTTTAGATAAAAAAAAATTGGCAAAAAACATCACATCAAACGTTTGGACACATACATGGGACATTAAATGTGGAAAAAAAATTAATTGTACAGTTTGCATGTAAATTACGAGACGTTGTCACGATATGATTTGACAATGTGATGCTATAATAAACATTAGCTAATAACGGATTAATTAGGCTTAATAAATTCGTTTTGCAGTTTACATGCGGAATCTGTAATTTGTTTTGTTATTAGTCTACGTTTAATACCTCAAATATGCGTCGGTATACTTCAAAAACTTTACACCCAAAGAATCAAACACACCCTAAGCTTTAATAGTATATAGTTAGTGGTACTGATGTCTTGGGATAATGAAAATTATGATTATGTTGGATTACGAAATGTTATGATTATATATGACTAATAGAGAGAGACCTTCAAGGCCCTCGAGTCTTTTCTGTAATCATTGACAACACCAAGTTGTTTGCTTGGTGGCTGTTTCTGCAGAATGGAAATCATGTGCACACTATTGATGCACATGGTGGTGGTTCAGAAATTATATAGGACCTGGAAGACTGCATTTTTCCCGTGATAAAATTTACAACATAGACAGCAATGTGCATCATGAAGAAAATTATACCCCAACCACAGCCGTCCACAATCTTCCAAAACAAAACCACTGCTTATCTGGTATTACCAGAAAGTACAGCAACTCTGCAACTATTGTAGCTAACTGTACTCACAGCACCCCAAGTATTACATAGGCATTGTTAAAAATTTAGATTACATTTGGGCACTTGCATGGAAGAAATCTTACATTGCTCATATGGATTGCCGATCATCTCTATGCTGTTCCATTGCTAGACTTTGGAGGTAGAAAGGGCTCCCACCATCCATACTCATACTTGGGGTATGGAGCTGTCCATTTCTCAGGCTTGTCAAATTTCAAGTCGACCGGGTTAGAAGCCAATGCCTCCTCAAGCGTTTCTGCTTCAAATTGTTCTGCTAAGACCCTGTCTAGCCTCAACTTCATAAAACTGATAACAAAAGAATAAAATGAGTAACCTTGAGGATTGCCATGCTACTTAAATTGAAAGTAGTTAATCATGGTATCGGCAATTACAAGATCATTAAAAGTGTAGATGCTGGCTATTTCAGTGATTGTTTGGTCCTCTTCCTATCTGGAATTTTGGATGGTTAGAAGCACAACTGGTCTGGTCATGGCGATTCACACCATGTCGTACATCATGACATCCAGAAAATAATGTGATGCATAGTCACTGAGTCACATGCTCAGAGCCAAAATTCTGTGTATTATCATGTTGTCCAGTTTCGTAGTCCAATAAGATTGTCCCTTTCCCTCTATTACTTTTTCACTAGCTTTCTCATCAAATCAGTGTGTTCAGGATGCGAACGACTCATTACCAATGTCCACAACTCGAAATCCTACCCAGTTAGTATGGTGCGTGGAAAAAAATCAGAGAAAATTCCTCTGTGCCCTGACTAGTTTTCGCTCAATCATTTCTATGCCTCTGAATTTTTCCTATTTTCCTACATGCTCCCGAGTTTCATTTTAATCCCATATATACCTATTCCATTAGTTGACCGCTAGATTTCTTTTTCCAAAACGACAATATTACCCCTCGTACTTGTGTGCTAGCTTATTGAGAAAAAAAATACAATTCTCAATGGGAAAAAGGTTCATTATTTTTTTTAAAAAAAACAAATGGGGTATAATTCTTTGACCACAAATTTTAAAACTGAAATTTATCATTTTTAAATCATTTTCAATTCAAATGTAAGCCAAACAAAAATAGTTTTGGTTTCAAGTTCTTGATGAAATTTTGTATGAATTTTATCAGTATTTTGAAGTTTGCTAAAAATTTGAATCTTTCATATTTAGGGTCAAATAATTCCATCACTTTTGATTTTATCATATATAAGAATTTTCCACATCGAGAATTGTGTTTTTTCTCAATAAGCTAGCACATAATTATGAGAGAAGGGCAGTATAGTCATTTCAGGGAAAAAAATATAACGGTCAGTTCATGGCCAAATAACGGAATGGGTATGTAGGGTATCAAAATGAAAACTCAAGACCATGTAAGGGATGTGGCAAAATTTATAGAAGGGATTGAGCGAAAAAACAGAGGCACGTAAGGAATTTTCTCAAAAAATTAAGATGACACTTGTAGATCATTATCATGAGCCATGACAAAGAAAGACAGATCCAAGCATCATAGCAAATAAGATGGAGGATCACGTAAAATTCCAAAGGACTGTTGACTTGAGCAAAACTCAAAAGGTACACTCAGTGTCTTCGTTTACATAAGGTGTATTCATCCATTCTGAAATGTTTGACATTAATAAACTAACCAGCATCATACACAAATAAACAGAGGGAGTAGTTCTGAGTTTTTCCAGTCATATCAACACTACAATATACCTATGCCTCACAATACTTCACAAGGACTACAAAAAACTTTTGTACTTTTGCATTTGAAACAGGATCTTGACCAAATGTTAGAAATGTGCCCGGTGAAACACATCAAACTTGGAAAATGGACGTTACAATTGTACAGAACATTACGGGCTCAAATCTGACTAGTTGCTCTTATAAGAAAAATATTCTACTATATGTCTATATCCCTCCGCTTGCATTTGCAAGAGACACAATTTACTGTTTTGTGGGATATATTTATAGCTGCAGAATGTGTTTACAGTCGCAGGATGCATATTTCGTGGGAAGCATTTTACAATCGCGAGTGCAAGTCCGATGGACAAGGCACTACTAGCATCTTTGGCTGTAATTAGTGCTATATAAGAAAACTACTGCTTATTTGCAATAGTTTGGCATTTCTTATCCCTGAATTTGAAGTTTTTTCAACAAAAAAAAAAGAAGAATGCTTGCATATTAACCAAACTAGGCATTTTGGCATCGTCCTTATTTTGTCACCAGCTCAGAACATGTACTGAAGCAAATGTATGTCGGCGTAGGATCAGCAATACCGTAAAGCTCTATTTAAATCCACATTTGATGAGTGGTAAGAGAAATGAAAAACTGTTGATGTTGTCATCATGTTGGTTCGGTGCTTTTGCAGTTTGTACTTTGTTCTCTGCTGATCATAAGTCCATAACACACTACACACAGGTAATACCGTACTGACACTGCGACTCTTTATGATAGGCGTTTTAATTTCTGTACTAGACATGTTTTGTGTTGTACTAGTAATTAGCTTATTATTAGCATCGGTTGCGGCTGCAATTGAAACGATCGATGGAGGGAGGGGGCACTGCACTTACGTGATCCAGTTGCCGTCGGTGGAGACGAGCGCGACGGCGGGGCGCTTGAGGCGCTTGGTGATGTTGGGGAACCTGTCGAGGAACTTGGGCTCCACCACCAGCCAGAAGTCCTGCTCCTTCTCCCGCTCCCCGTAGAGCCGCAGCTTCTCCTTCAGCTGCTCCTGGAAGTGCTCCTCCTCGTCCAGCATGAACTTGGCGTTCGCCACCAGGAAGTGGTACTTCTTCGGCTTCGCCTCCTGCGCGCGCCCAATCCACCACAATTCTCCGTCTCAAACCGGGACGGGAAAATTATCAAAATTAGGGCGGGAGGCGAGGGGCGGTTTGGTTTACCTGATCGGGAGGCTCGGGGGAGCCCTGCTGGTCGGAGTCGACGGCCACGGCGCGGAGCGACAGGCGCCGCCGCCTCGGCTGGCACGAGACGGCGGGCGGGAGCGCGAACCCGGCGCCGACGCGGGGCAGCGCGGCGCGGGACGGCGCGAGGGTCGCGAAGGGGCGGAGGGACAGCGTCGCGGGAGCCACCATTGCCCCACTCGCCTCGGCTGCCGAACTCGGGGACGGAGCCGAACTGAAGTGCTGAAGCTGGTCGTGTCAGCTCGGAGAGGGGGCTTGAGGTCGGAGGACGACGATGGACGGTGAGCTTTAGCCTTATCTCTGGACACGAGGGGTGGGCGCCTTTAATACTACTGTGCCGTGCCATTACTGGTTAAATGGCTCCATGACAGCACACGGGTTTTCGCACTGTGCCGTTTTGAGGCCCATAGATTTTTTTTTTGGGCACACGTGGACCCTACTTTGGGTTTTATATAGGAATAAGTTCATCTGAGGTCCCTCAATCTCTATATACGATTTCAGGTCTAATCCCAGGCCTCTCACTGAGCCACGTGGCATCACGCTTGCGCTCCATCCAAATTCTCAGCAGGAGAACATGCCACGCATTCAAAATGTCCCATAGCCGTCCGATGACATACGAACGGTGAGAAAAAGGTCCAGCGGACCTAAATATAAAATGCAAGTTTTAAGAAGGGTTTTTAAACAAAATGGACAATGCCATCTAGAAGAGCCTGGAGTAGAGGAAAAAAATCCCAGAACCAAAAAAAAAGAAGGGGCTGTCTATATAGGAATCGAATGATTTCTGAAGCTCCAATCATACAGATTTTATCTACCATAGGATGCACATCCAACAACTCAGAAAAAGTGATACAAATAGATATTACACTTAAAAACAGATATATTATTTGATTATTTGAACGCCATTTTTTTAAAGCCTAAATCCAGATCCAGATCCATAAAAGCCCAAATCCATATCCAGATCCATAAAAGCCCATTAGTAAAAAGAAGGCCCAAAATACAAAATTTGAATCAAACACAAATAAACAAAGCCCATGATTTTTTCGCCCATGCGAATTATTTGAAGGCCCAAGTCTATATCCAGATCCATAAAAGCCCATTAGTAAAAAGCAGGCCCAAGATACAAAATTAGAAGCAAAACACAAGGAAATAAAGCCCAAATCATAATCCAACAGCCTATCCAAAAAAGTAGTAGGGACCAAACTTGGAAGCCAAGTAGATGAAAAACATGTCACGTGAATCAACCATGTATGGGACCACACTTTTCAATCCCCTACTTTTCAACAGCACTACTAGTTCACAAACAGATCTAGCACGAATCAAACATGGAGCTAGGAGAAGAGAAAGAAGAGAGAAAAAGAGGATCCAAATCGCAGATGGAAGGAGAGAGTACAATGTCAGAATCAAAGAGTAGTTCTATAGGAAAGAAGAAATCAAAGACAACTTCTGAACAGAAAGTTGAGATCCATACAAAGGAAACACAGAATCTGGAGAACACAAAGAAAAAACAAGAGGAAGGCAAAATCAAGAGAAACAAGAAGGCTCCAGTTCAAGGTTAGTTCAAGGCTCCAATTCTTATCCCCTATATACAATTCCTGAAAAAGATCAAAGAGAGAGTTTAGGTCAAATATATAATTCAAAAGAATACATGAAATTGCTGAATATGTCAAATGAAACAAGGTTAACAATCCACTTTGCTGGATAAATACAACAACTCAGAACTGAAAATTTCATATGTTTGCTCTGTAGATCTGAACTATGTAATGTTAAAAGTAAAACTACACTGCATTCAGTACTACAAAACTGCATTCTGGATGATAGTATTACTGTGTACTATTGATGAATACCAAACTAACTTTATAAAAAAACATGACAGATTGATTAGTCTTCCAACCTTACTGAATTTCACTCTGAAGATATCACAGTCATACAGTTATACAGAAATATAACAACTAGGCCATATAGCATATCCTGAATTGTCATACATTCAATTTTATCAGCATAATCACCATATTAAACTAATGACAAATTCAAATCTCAATGTCAACCACTTGTCTCATCCAACTCAATATTACATAAAAGTTCAATATCTCATACAGCACAAACAAAAGAGCCAATTCATATGAACTCACATCTTAACATGTTACTGTAAAAAAGTAATAAAATTACATACAAGAATCACAGTAATTCTAGTATTAACTCATTGTAAAAAGATTAGTTCAGTAAACAAAATAGTTTAGCTCACACAATCATGCACAAATTCAGGAACACATTCAAGATATGTTTTAAACTCAAGACTATCTCAGTTCAATGTTTCTCTCATCATCAGATAACAAAATGAAGATTTCAGATAATAGATCATTATTGATTTGTTCAATGTCTCAAAATAGAATATAATGAAACTAGTTACAGTGAACTTGTATTACAAATATATAGAGTGAACACTACAATTTCAATTGAAAATACATGTAACTACAAAGAAACAATGTAAAATTCATATGAAATCATGATCTAATGCAGTTTAATCTCAATTTCAAGATGATTTCAGATTTTTCGAGCAAAAAACAGGGTATCAAATACTTCAAAAGTAGTACATATGTAAAAACCAAAACAAATCATATCTAATTGAAATAGAAAGAAATAGAAAAGAAAAAGTGCCATCAGATATTATAAGAAAAAGTGCCATCAGATAGTTTGTTCCATAAGTAAATTTTAACTGGAATTACAGTAGCATTACACTCTAATTGAAATACTTATTTACTGTAACCGAAGGTCGACGCCGCTTCTTCCTCGACGCCGTCGCCGTTCGTTGATCTTCCGCCGCCGTTTTGGTCGCCGGTGAGTTCGCCGCGTCGCCCTCTACGTCCTGGTGCCCTCCGTTCGCGCCGCCGCGCCATCGTTCGCCGGCGAGCTTGTGCTCCCGAGCCGCCGCCGGTGGTGACGTCACCGCTGACGTCATCGTCGTCGTCTCTCGTGGTCCGGCCGTGGATCGGTCGATCTCGGCCGTCCGTTTTGGATAAGATCGATCTCGGCCGTCCGTTCCCGTGAACCGTCGCCGTGCGCCCGGTCCACCGCGAAACCCTAGCCGCTGACGCAATAAATCCCTTTTTCCTTTTCAAAAATAATTCATTATTGCGTCATAATTCAATTAAAATCCATATAAGTGTTTTAATCCGATTTAATCTTCAAAAATTCATAACTAATTCATCTTAGCTCGGATTTAGTTGGTTCAAGTCTCTAAATTTTTCTAAATTTGAGATCTACATGTTAAAAATATCCACATGTACTGTTCATGCTTGTTTTTGTGCTGTTTTGGTGATTTTGCTCTTTTCTGCTTAGATTCCGTCGTTTCCGGAGAGTCCGTTTTCGCAGGAGAAGAGTTTGAAGAGTTCCAAGGCCAGCAAGGCAAGTCACACAGATCCCAAACAACCCTTTGAGCATGTTGATCCCGTTTAAAGCTATCGTTTCTATTCAACTATTGCATTTATTTTCGAATGTCATTGGGTGGAATTAACCTATTGTTTGTTATAGCCCTTTTTGTTCTTGATTACTTTATTCCTTGATACCTTGGGTTGTTATAACTTGACTAGTTGGGCTATATATATATTGGTTCAACTAGATGTATTAGATATAATTGCTTAGCCCTGCTTAGAAACATTAGCACACTATTGGGATAACTTAAGATTTACTATTATTTAATGATGGCTTAATGATAGTTCACGATGGTCAATCGTGATTGGTTAATTAATTAATGTGCCAACTAAAACCTGATAATGGTGGGTTGTGAGCACATGGTTTTGATGGTCGTGCTCATGACAATTAAGGACCGGTTCACGAGTTTCGGTTGTGAAACATTAACCGTGCCAACCACAAGCCAGCATGGGCAACGGCTTTACCTTTTGTATAGCATGGTTCATTGCGGAGCACCAGACTGAGAAGTGGCGGAGATAAGCCCACGGGGGTCGCTGGGGAGTCCATGCCTTGTTTATAAGGGGGTGATTATGATCCAGGAAAGGTGCGCTGTAGTGGATTGTGTTGTGCAAGGGGTATTGTCACAGCTCCTTTCCGAGGTACCGTGGTGGTATTGAGGCACATGGTGACATGATGTGGGGCTGTGTCTTGTGGGTACATTGGTACACCTCTGATCAGAGTAAAACTATTCGAATAGCCATGCCCGCGGTTATGGGCGGGTCTAACAATGTCTTTCGTGATTAGTCTCACACCTCTCATCATAATAAAAGATGCTATAACTGGTAATAATTTGATTAGCTCCTGGTTTGGAATGGTATATTCCTGGTTTGGAGATAGAACTGTGCAGCTGGGATGGTTGTTCAGAATGGTTGGGCCTATACAACAGGGTATGTTGTATAGCGTTGGATTAATATTGTTTAATTATCACTTAACTGTTTTATTAAATTCTCAAATGTTTGCTAAATGCTGCTTTTGCAAAATGAAACCCTATTATGCCATCCTTTGTTATCCTGTGCACTTGCATATTTGCTGCGTGGCTTGCTGAGTATGTCATATACTCACCTTGCAATCATTCATCAGAGGAAGAGTTCTACAGTGAAGCTGATGGTGTGGAGGATTAGGTGTAGCCCTGGTCAAGCTGCCTGTGGAGTGGAGTCGTCTGCGCCGTTTATCTTATTTTTTCCGCTGCTTAGATCTTTATTGATTGAGAGGAACTATCTACCTCTATAATGACATTTTATTCGCTTATTAATTAGAGTAATAATTGTACTCTATTATCAATTTGTTATTGTGTGCCTCGGCTGATTCCTGGACGAGGGTTCACACACATGTAAGCGTTTGGAATTTTGGATAGAAATTCCGGGCGTGACAAGTTGGTATCAGAGCTCCTTGACCCTAGGTTATGCCAAATGGTTACCCATAGAAGCCCTCTAAAAATATTGGAAAAGTAGAACTGTTCTCCTCCCCTTCTCTTTTAATTAAACCAAACTAATGGCACATGCATTTCCTAATATTTTTTTTAGTGGTTCTCGTTCAAAATTTATTCTAGCGTTATTAGTACTGTACATCTATTACTGTACTAATGGCTCATTTTACCAACAAAAGTTTTACAATATTGTTTAGTTTAATCTTGCTGCAATGAAATAAATTTAGCATGTTGATTTTATAACTTTCTTTTATTTCTTTTGAAACCGGTTGTTCAAAAGTACAAAATTTGTGACCTTGTTTCCAACTGTTTCAACTTATCCTGCAAGTTTGGCTTACCTTTTACTTTGATTTTCTAACTTTATTCAAATTAATCCAAAAACTTGTGCTATTAATTGGATAAATGTCTTAACTCCCTCC